CAGGGAACCTTTGTTATAGGAAAAAGTGGGGCATTTCAAAGCTGTGGACTGTGGGGAAGACAGTGTCAGGGGAGGTTTCCAAGAGCTGGTAAGGTACTTCTACACAAATGAGTGATTTTTAAGCTAACAAAACCATTCCAAACAATGAAGAAAAGGAGGCTGGATGACCTACAACCCTGTGTGCCTACACACTGTTAAGAAATCTGGAAAGATAATTTTCTTCTTTTAAAAAAGGTATGATCTGATATAAAGAGCTTCTACTTTGACGTGGCACCCGTAGCACAGTGGTTATGGCACCAGCCACATACACACTGAGGGTGGTGGGTTGGAACCCGGCCCGGGCCCGCTAATCAACTGCAACAAAAAAAAATAGCCAGGCCTTGTGGTGGGCACCTGTAGTCCCAGCTACTTGGGAGGCTGAGGAAAGAGAATAGCTTAAGCCCCAGAGTTAGAGGTTGCCGTGAGCTGTGACACCATAGCACTCTACCGAGGGCAATACACTGAGACTCTGTTTTAAAACACATAAATAAATAAATAAATAAAATAGTTCTACTGAGACAGTAATAATAACTTGTTATTCAAATAATCAAGCAGCCACAAATGTGGGCTGGGACCAGGGAAGGGACATTCTGCCTCTATAGTCATCACATCATTTTCTTGGTACTCAGTTTCTTCTTTAAAGACCACCAGGACATACTGTTCTAAATAATCTCTGAGGACTTGCAAGCTATAAAAGCAAACATTTTTGACTCTATTAGTAAATTTAGCAAGAACAGATGTAGTTGTAGAGCGATGTTTTATGGGTATTTCACGAGGGTGTAACAGTTGGTACTTTGCATGTGTTCTCTATGGTATTAAACTAAGCGATGAAGATTTCTACTTCAGGGTTTTAATCAGAAAGCTGACTGGTTTTTTACATATTCCTAATATGATGGGGCAATTTCCACACTCTCTCTTTGTCAATCGCCTGGTGAAGGTACCTTAGTATGAATATCATTCCCCTCTGACTTAAGGATTACGGGTGTGGGGTTAGAATTCTTGTCTTGTTATGCCTGATAACAAGGAGCTATCAATGACTAATGGGAGTTTCAGATAACATAAGAGCTAATATGATGGGATTCTCACTGGCTGAAGATGGGACTTGAAAATTAAAAAAAAAAAAAAACTAAAACACAAAAATATATATTTTTAAAAACATGAATCAATTAAAAATAAAAAAATCACTCATCAGTTTAGGAGGATCTGGGACACCAGCACTTAAGATTGCCAATTAAGGCTCAGCGCCTATAGCTCAACCGGCTAAGGCACCAGCCACGTACACCTAAGGTGGCGGGTTCGAATCCCCAGCCCAGACCCGCCAAACAACAATGACGGCTGCAACCAAAAAAAATAGCCGGGCGTTGTGGCGGGCGCCTGTGGTCCCAGCTAC